CGCATTTTATAAGAAGTTCAGAATAAAATTTTAAGAGAACATGCTTCTTGTATTAGCCGAAAGGGACAGTTTAACTCAGAACATTTAAATACGTCTCTGTAATGCTGTCCATAAACGTTCTCGACTTTTCGATTCCGCGCGATGGATAAGCGGCCACTGGCAGATCTACGAATTTTAAAACAAGTGGGAAGTCTTAGTGAACTCAACTAAAACAGTTCGGCTGGATCAAATGAAGCGAAACTTTTAAGTCAGGTAATATAGTTTTTTAAAAATAACGTTTTGTGGAAAAAATTCAAGAGAAAAGAGAAAGCAGCAGAGCTTTTACCTTTGGGCTTAAACATGTTATTTGTATTGAAACTCGGCTTTTGGTAGATCTCACATGCATCATCTTATCACTGTTACTTCCTAAAAAGGGCTTTTCAAGCTAAACAGGTGGTTTCAAGGATAAAAATTGTTAAAAATTTTTTTACGCAGTCCTGTTTGATCAAAACGGAGATTGGTGGCCGTCGATCCGTGGATTTCCTTATGATATTTTATTTTCAAAAATTATGTAATCAGGTTTTCAACTTCTTCAAGCGCGAGAACAAAGATGACAAACACGACTTTGTTTTGCACGATCTGACGCGTATATCGAAACAGAGCGGAGTCTTTTTGTCGTTGAACACAGGTTTCATTGTGAACTGTGGACGGATTTTTAAGATCTATGAGTTATTTCATAAAACAATGAAGGTTCTGTCTTGGTGTACCGGTTCACAAGGGAATCACCATGTTTTTTTTTTGTTTAGCTGGTCATTGGTTAGCTGTCGTGTATTATTTGCTCTTTTGTATCGGCTCTTGTGAACCGCTACACGAGGACAGAACCACAATGAATGTCCGGCGGCATCACTATTGCGAACTCCGAAGATCGGAAATTTCATGATGAACAGTGATGTCAGTAAATTTTCTTGCTCTCAAAAAGATATCAACTTTAGTTAACTTTGATGTAAATAAAGAAGTTGGACAGCATTTTTCGAATACAGGAAAAGATTCTGTGTGATAGAAATTCATGGACGTGTTCACTACAGAGGACATAGTTTTGAAAAGGAATTCATCTTAAACAGTGATGCAGACAGCCCGTTTTGACTGACAGGAAAATTTAGCGGCCTCAAGTTGAATCAAATTCAACACCTAATTTTGAGTCCGCGCTTTCACAAAGTGGGGTAAATTTGAAAAAAACAAACTTATTCTTATAGTATAGCCTACCATCAGCACAAATCTGGATAATACAGCTGTCCATCGAAAACGCAAAATTTCGAAAACACGCTTTTAAAGAGGATGATATGAAAATGCTGACTTCACCCCTGTGGTATGTCCAGAATAATTAACGAAAAAGAAGCTTTTCAAACATTCTTACTATAGCACTATAGCAAAAGGCTTTCTACTTTCCTTCATAGTTTTCCAAGATTTGCTATCAGTTGCTAGTTCGAAATCGGAGTCTAGAAAGCAGTCGCATCATTGGTCACAGTTCCTTGTATCGTATTTCCTTTTCACTTGACCAAAATGTGACATTTTAGGATCTGTTGTTCCTATTATACTCAATTACGCTCAGTCTTATAATGTGCATGCTAGAGCATACATTTCAGCGTTTCGTTTCCTGGTGAGCCACACTGTGGAAGTAAACTTTTAATACATATTTAGAGATAAAAACCCTGCACCTGAATAGGTATTCAAAGAGTTAATAAAAAGCTTCACTTTTCATTCATAATACGCAGTATAGTTCAAATCTGAAGTCACGCCACAGAACAACACACTCTTTTCATGAAATGAGTTTTGAGCTGAGACCAAACAACAAGCTCCGCGAAAACGTAATCGTTTTTAACGAACTAAACAAGCTTGGACGAGACGACCATTATTACGA